TGCCTTAAGAACAGTACGTACTATTTAAAATTTACTTGATCTTAACTGCACCTTTACAAATTGTTAAATTTGATTATAAAAACGCTTCCCTGACCAATGTCATTTGTCCCATGACATTCCTGTTTGGTACCGATTTGTACCTTTATTAGAATGCCATAACTTAGTACATCTGATAAAATATTAAAAGTTCAACGTATTTACGTCGGTCAAAACGTGTGACGTGTGTATTGTTTTAAAATGTTTACTGAGTACTTTAAATCAGCATATACGCTTGTTTATCAGTCATTTAGCTTTACAGATATATCCTCACAATTTAAAAGAACTACATAGAAGGATATATTAGTAATTTGTTTCAAGACGCACTTGAAGGAAGTTTAAGCAATAGAAAATATACATCAACATAATGACCATACTGAATCTCAAAGTTGACGCAAGAAGGCAACTACAGTAATCCAGGGGACATAAAAATAAAAGGGAAGACAGCGACAGGATCCGAGGAGACATCAAACTAAAAGGAAGGAGACGTCATCAAACCGTAAAAAGGTTAAAAGGTCCAACCAGGTGTTATAGAGGAGTAAGCCCTTCATGCTGCACACGGCACACTAGTCGCGTGATTTCTCAAATCAAAATTAAAATCAGTCTTCAATGTTCACAGAAAAGTTGTGGGTATAAAACACTGTTTCGGTAGCAGTAAATGAGTTGCAAATTATATAAATATTTTTAGAAACGTATTTTGATATTGTTTCTGTATTTGGAAACAGCAAAGTTTGTCATAAGTATTTTGACCAAGAGTTTGGAAATCACATCTTACTTTTCTGATGCGCTTAAGTTTGAACTGTACTATATTACGAGCCACATCAGATACTGATAATTTATTTTGACGTCTCTGAATCTTTCATTGAGAAACAATGTGACTGCTGATACATTATGATAAAATATAAGAAACCCCTTAGTCACTAGATTTTACATAATAGTATTTACGTTGTTAAGACTTTGCAAGAATGTTATCGTGATGAGGACAATCATATTTCGCTCAATAATAATCTATTATAACAGGAACAATGGTATAATACGTTAATGGCCCAGGTTAAGTAGATAATCTATGATAAGTATATTAAGAAGAAAGAAAATGGTTTTATATACAGATACTTCTTGAACCTCATCGGCAGGTCATCTGAGGTTAATTCATCAGGACACGTGATCTATTTAGGTAAACACGTGATCATAATTAGGAATAAGCTAATCACATTTCACCCCGAGCAGACCAGAACAATGGTATAATAGCATAATTGATCAAACTTAAGTAGATAATCGATGTTAAGTACTTTAGGAAGATTTTTTTTTTGAACTGAGATTAATGATTCGTCCTTGATTTTGCGTTCCGAAATCTTGCACTATGACCTCAGGGGACTGGTGTTTTGGAACGATAGTAGCCACTTTGTGGTTTAACGCCCGTTACCAGAAGTCAAAAATCTGCGCCATGTTAAAGTAAGCTGTTCTGGAGACTTTTTTTTTTTATTTAAGGGTAAACATTTCAGTTAAAGTTATGTACGCCCCTATGCTGTTAAGATGAAAAATGTGTTTTGTTCACAGTTGTTTATCCACTGCATCGAAAAACAACAATGTGCATAACGATTCTTCAGTAAATATTGATATGCCTTCCGACTGAAAAGTAAAAAAAAATCAGTGACAACATGGTTGCTATTTTTCTGTTTTGGCAAACAAATCTTTATGTTCTCACTCTGAATCTGTCAATCATTATCCTAACATTTTTCGAGGGGAGATTGACTATCTGTGTACGGAAGCCAATGTTTGAGTTTGATAGACGATTCCGCAATTAACCGACATTCTTGGTTCCTTGATGTCTTACCGTTATATTTTACTCATGGGTTAACTATTTTTCATATTGTATACTCATGCTACAAACCCGTGACGATTATCAAATTGTTCACTGATTTCGCCAATTACAAAGCATGAACTGAAAACCGTCTAAGCGTAAAAGAAATTACTTATATAGAAATACATTTTTTTTACGATACCAGGGTCTAATTAATGCCGTTAGAGAGTCTATTATAAGAGATATACGAAATGTAGAGGTAAGCTATCCATTTATACCAATTAATATAGAAATGTTTTGGAAAAATATAAAAGGGATAAGAGATTATTATAGCTTATTTTCTACAAATTGTACTATTTCAACAGGTTAAAAAATGGGATGATATATTTCAATTTGATGGTGAAATTTGGAATTAAATATATAAAATACAATTTTAAATAACAATGAATACTCAATTACAGTGGCTACAGTACAGAATAAATGAGCACATTTTGACAACTAATGCATTTTGTTTAAAGTAGGAATAGTAGACAGTTCTTTCTGTGAACTGTGTAACATAGAAATAAAGACAATAGAACATGTATTATTGAAATGAGAGAAAGTTCAAAATCTTTTACAAAACTGTTAGTTCTCATTAGATGAATGAATTATTTCACTTGATTTTAATAAACAAATATTTCTATTTGGTTTTTATATAACTATAATGGATTTGATAAAGGTGACAATAGTATAATTTTAATAATATAACAGTATATATACAAGGCAAGATGTCTTAAAGTGTCTTTATCTATACATGAATTAAAAGTTCAATTAAAGAACATTACAATATTCAAAAAGATATTGCAAATAGCAAAGAGGAAAATTAACATAAAAAATATGGAAAAAGTTTATTGATATTTCCTTTACCTGTAATTTGCCAATAATACGTTTTATCTTATTTACAATTTTTTGTTATTTGGAAAGAGAGACAGAATTGAAAAATCTCGATTACCTATCTACTGACACATACATTACCTATCTACTGACACATACATTACCTAATTTCAATCCTTTGCATTGTTTTGTTTAATAATTATACTTCTCCGCTGTCTGGTTGCCTTCATGTCTTTCCGTCTGTCTGTCTTTCTTTCTTTCCATTTTTCTCTCTTTATTCCTTTTATTTGTTTTCTTGTTTCTCTTTATCTGATTACCTTTCCTATCTAATATAACATTACAATAAACAAAATACCACTTACAAAACCAGTCATATGGATTAGTATGAAAGTATGTGCAAAAGTGGAATTGATTATGTATAATGAAATGTATATATTATTGTCAGTTGAAAATACTTTGAAAATAAACAAATCAAAATATCTATATATATCTACATCAGTTTGTAAATTTTGAGCATTATCATTTTTATTAGGAATTCTAGGTCGGCAAGTATCATAAATGTCTCGATTATGACCCAGAGATTTGTCTGCAACACGTGCAAAACCCGGTTGAAATTTATGAAAAATATAAAATAAGCGTAATATGATATTTATATCACCTAGCAGGCAAGAAATCCATACTGATTAGGGTTTTCTTTATATACACATTAGTCATTCCGTTAACAGGAAACCCATCTACCACCAAAAAAAGATTGCTTTAGTAAAGATTTAATGAATATTTTTAGTACAATTTTAAAATGTGTTCTTCCACAAAATGACGTCTTGCACTTTAAATACTTTTGATTTAAGACTTGGTTCATCGATGACGTCTATGTGCTTTTATCTGGATTATGATTTAACCTTATTAGTTTACGATCATAGGGGTATACTTTAACTTAGGGCACTTGAAACATTTCCGCCTGATTTAATCCAAGGCGGATCTAGAAATTTCGAAGGGGTATCCCATGTCAATTCCCATGATCTGATAGTCAGATATTGACATTTCTTATTGATTATTTAGTTTAGGGTTAAAGGAGATGGTATGACCCTAAACAAACCTTCTCTCTCTGGATCCGTCCCTGTCTTCTAGGATGTTTAGATCAAATGTAATGGCGTAGGCTGTACTTTACTGCTGTACATGTTTTCTTAACATTATATAGTAATTTCCTTTTTCTCATAAGAGGTAAATGTACGAGGTAGCAATGTTTCAATAATTACTTGGTATAAGGAATTCAGATACGATGGTATTAGGTTTCAATAATATGTCCCTAGATCAGTAATGGCTGTGTGACGAATTGACGGATATACCTAGTGAAGACAGTCAGGTTTTTAAAAATGATTTTGCTAGTCCTGTTGTTGTTTAGAAACAACTGCTCATTCCTCCATATTAATTTTTTAAAAAGTGTGGATGTTGAAGCTTTCAACGACTTCAGTGGTCTCTCTCCACAGAATCAACAGGTAAAGTAGCAATATCCTTTAGAGCTAAAAAGAATAAAATGGCAGAGACTGAAACTTTCTTTGCCAATTTACAAATTGTCGTCTGGAGGCTGTTGCACACCTCTGGAAGATATGTAGTTAGACATGTCACATAAGTGAATCTTGACATCAATGTTATTGTGACCTGAAATTAAATCACACGTTTCCCTGTACCTGACGTTGTACATGTGGATACCAATAATAACTATATATATAAATGATAAATTGGCTACGTCACAATGTCCATTACCTTATGATTGTACCACTTGTAGCTGTTACCATTCAATCATTATGTTATTTGTTTATTTACACTTGTGTGGTTATGACATCTACTTTTGATTGTGTGTTCTTATGTAATATATTATGCTCTTATTAATTTCTCGATTACTTACATTTTTATTGGTTTTGGTAATGAACTTTAACATGCTTTTGTTAATATCCCATTTGAAAATATGTATAACATTTTCTGTGTAATATATTTCATATATGGTTATCTATAATCATTGTGCTTATTGATGTTCTGCTATAGTAGCAGTTTTACTTCTCTTTTTTTCATTGTAGCATTTATATATATTCGATTGATGTCTCTTGATTAGCGTGTGCATGACGTAGAATGCTTAATCTTATTGGAATTTATTTTCTGATGCATGCTACCATTGTGTTTATGTTGTATCGTACAGTTGTTATTATCGTTAGCTCTACTGAGTTAACGTTACTTTGTTAAAAACACTTAAAGTAAAATGAAAAGAAATTCTGATTTTTTTTTAGATATTTAATTAAGTGGGATGGGTACATTTGTATATTGCGTAAAAAACAACGTCACAATATAAAATTCAATTGTGTAATTCCCACTGTATCAATTTTGTTGAAAAAAATGTATTATTAAATGTGTACAATACAATTTCTTTCACAAACAAGTCCCCTGTTAGAGTTGCCTCCCTTGTTGCGTCAAAAGAGATAAGCTGCCTTTCACATAGTGTTCACACCTCGACCAGACTGCGAATGGTATGGGAAGCAAATGATTTACTACTTCATTCAGGGTGATCATAGTTATTAACAATACGAAGCACATTGCCAATGACTGTAGTATATGGTACGTCTTGGCAAAGGGAGAAAACCTTGTCAGCCCTATATACGTTTGACTTGGCTAATCCACATAGATCCGCAGACTTTAACATTCATCATACATATATAGTGCTATATCTTCGTGTACATTCTACATCCAGCACTAAGACACTTTGGGTTGATTTGATACTTTCAGTTATCTCTGACTTAAATCTCTCGTTATGAAATAACAAAAAGGCATGCTTTTCAATTTTAGTTAGCTTTGGTTGAACAAAATCAATGACGTATGAGCAGAGAGTTTGATGTCATTCACGTTCCATATTTTGATGTTAAGATTATCGTGTTAATATCAAAACCTTATGTGCCTAATAAGGTTTGGTGTTTGCTTCGTATACTGCTTCCCTTATATTAGTTCCTTACTCCCACGTCTTCTCGCGAGAGCTGTCAAGTCTCGCGTTGTTTTCATTGAGCAAGTCCGGGGGCGGAAATCATCAATTTCATCGTCGTCCTCTGATTCCTCCTCGTTTAACATCGTGACACTGTTGGCACTCCTAACGCCATAGTTTTCCAGATCCAAGGTAATATCAATACTAGTATTGGACTGGAAACTCGTATTGGACTGCAAACTCGTGTTGGAGCTGGTCAGTGTCTGTTTATTCCGGAAGCCTGCCCTCCGTTTCGCTTTGTTTAGTGACACTATAGTATCATGAATGTCACAGAACTGACGTTTCAATAGGATGTCATGCTGACGGAGCATAATCTGGAAGTGTTAAGGAGAAAACAACAGGTGCCAGGATTTTTAAACTCATAACAAAATCAAAAAGACAATGGTGTAAACAATAGCGACTTATATTAAAAAAAAATGTGACTATGTTCAAACTCAGATTTTGTATTCAAGTTTCATATTCCCAATTCAATTCAATTGAAAATCTATCTTATAAAAAATAGTTACAACATATAATTTTAGTTTGAGCATGAAAAATCAAGAATGTAAAATAAGAAATTTCAGAAAAGATAATATACATAAAAAAGACAGCAGTGTCATTACCATAACCAAACATAATAGAATACCTAGGTGTCAATAACACTGTAATTAAAGCTCAAAATCGATAACACAATGGCAAAATATGAACAAGTGAAATATTTACATGGAAAAATTTAAAACATTACAGGGAGTTAGGGACCGACTGTTTCGTTATGATAACCTTTACTTGACTCATCGACGACACAAGTGACTTAAATCTAGATAAATCTAATTAATGCCACGTCCTCAAAAGGACCACCGGGGTAGTGACAACGCAACAACACATCACACTAATGGACATAAACAGCATCAACAAGAATACCACACCAGGAAATAGAGTATTTCCCAAAACGATCACGATGAAGATTACAAAACCTGTCCATAGTCTTCGTCAACCTCATCAAAAACCAAAGTGCCTTATATAGTATTTCGTCACATTGCCACGCTTATGATGACGATACGAGTGAAATTATTATACTTGACATTTCCGTCAGTAATCGATGCAGCATTTTTCAATACCATTGAAATTTTTACAACACATTTAGATACATTTATCATGAACGGTAGTATTGTAGAAACACACTGTACGTGAGGTATCTTTGATATTTACATGGATCATTACATATGAGATTGATTTAAGAAATCAGAACGACCTTTTAGAAACATATAATGGACTGTGTTAACAGCTGAGCTTACTAATTCTTGTTTAATCCATAGTAAGGCCTGGCTCAGGTCTGAAAGACGTTCCGCAATTTTGTCCGCCCCACGAAGATGATCGATGCTGCCTTTTCGACTGTCGAGTGATCGGGACTCCTCTACTTTATACCGCTTAGGTAGACGGACAACACCGGGAAGACTCGAATGACGGAGCGGAACACAGCTACTTTCCTGTGATGCCATATTCATTAGCGGCCATTTCGTCTGTATGTCTAAATATAAAATAAAAATTGAAAGCGTTTTAAAACTAGGAAATAAACTACTCAAGTTGGGGTCGATTTTTTTTTAACAAAAAAGTAAATAAGATACGTTCATTTGAGCAATAACTTTACGTATAAATTCTTAGTAGTAGCAGTGGAAGTTTTCAAAAGAATCAATAAATCATTTATTGTTTAACTTTGTAATTTTAGAGGGCAGACTGCGGCTTATATACAAAAACAGAAAAGAATACAATTTTTTAACTCGTGCTAGCTAGGTCAACAATATGCCACAAGTAAGGCCGACCTAAATCTTCTACCTCATTGATCCTGTACAATTAGAGAGAAAAGAAGGTAATCAACGATCAATTACTCAATAAAAGTAAGGGATATTTTCTGAATCAGTGAATATTATTATAATTTTTCTGTGTATGAACTTAGGTTGTATTCAGGACATTAAGTAAGTTATAACTTTAGTGTAACGAGAAATATGCCAGTGTTGGCGACCTCTACGAAAAAGCAGATGTTCAACTAGGTACATCCGAAACTGTAAATACCCCTCGCATCTGTACGCGAAAGTCGTGTTTATATAGTTTCTTTTTATTGAGGTGATGATATGCTTAACACACCAGGTTGATTCTGCCAAATGAATATTAATACAGTTTTGTAATGATATTAAACCTGTTTTAATGTAATGTGTCGGTAACATGACATCTTGCAATTTTAGGTCACGGGCATTATTGTATTTAAATCATGTAAATCTGTTCTGTATAATTTGTGTTTACATCGGGTCTTTCGGTATATTGAGGTTTAGATTCTGTGTGCAGTACTAACTCTACAAGGAAGCAGGTCGCTCTTGAAATCGTTCAAATGTTTGTCTGCATTTTAAAAATTTGATGATTGTACTACGAACCATATACTTCCAAAATATAGCTACCCAATAAATATACACCTATACTTGCACCAGCCCCTCAAATCCCATGTGCCGGTCTCTGTACTGTGTATACAAATAATGCGTAAATACTGTAGCTCATGCTTGGATTACAGGTGTAGGGCAACCTTTTAACTTCGACTACATCAGTTTACTATATGCATGGGATTAGACGGTTCACTCTATACAAAGATAAATATACAGAGGCAACACAAGTAATGAATAATCAATGCAAATAGTTAATTAATTTGATTTGATGTGAAGAGGTAAATTTCATTTGTCTAACTTGCATTATATACTATCATTACTATATATACAGAGTATGGACCCAATATCTCCTGGGAAAAAAGAAATCATTATTAGACGTGATTCAAGCTACTGTCCCGGAGAGTTTACTTGTGCAATTAGACTCTGTCGTTTTCGAAATGTTTGGACAAGGGCTCCGTATTGTATTTTGATGATGTTAGATCACCAATTCAAAATATAAAAAAATCTTTAACAGGTTTGATAGCATGCTTATTATCTGAAGTCAAGCAGACATTAAAGTGTTCCCGGTGATCTACCTACTGTCTAGGATATCACTGGAGAAGTTACACGAGAGTATCTGCTTCATTATAAGAGTGTCTTGTTTCACCACTGGTTTGTTAAAGTTGGATTTTTTACAAACTTAGTCTGTTTTGATGTTTTGTTTTTGGTATAGATTTTTATAAAAACTTCAGATATACCGTGCTTCCGTGTTTGAGCTACTGTACTTGTTTGAATTTTACACTAGTAGTTTATGTTTATACAATATCTAACTTCACAAGGGTTCAAACGTAGAGGTATCCCAGTACATTTTGACTTCTGAAAGAGTTTAACCATGCAGAAATTGTACCACATTCGAATAAATGTGTATTTGTAAGAACACACTTTTCAGTGCAGCATAAATTCTCTTAGAGTGAAAAAATCAAAGCATGTGGTTTGTTTAATCTATTGGAGAAATGGTAATTATTATCAAAGATGCAAGTCGTAAGCACCTCTGACATACTTTATCAAAACTCTTTTTAACCTTATGACAACAAAATGACTGGCGATGCGTGAAATGAGGCCTAGTTAAAGCCGTTACAGCCGTTATAATATCAATATAAATACCTCGACTCGTAGTCTGGTCTTAGATAAAAGCGTTAGCGTGCAACAGGGCAGGAAATGAGCACTAATTTATGCTAAACCATGTGCATCACTTTTCTTGGCGCACATGTTGCGAAGTATTCAAAGAGTGATACGGAACACACCATAAAATAGCTTTAACATTTTTAAATATCAGAATATCTAACCGGATGTTCTACATAATAGACACAGAAAGTATGTAAATTAATCCTTTTATAAAAGAGACTGATTTTTCTAGAGGCAATATATTTTCATGAACATGACAGATAAGAGTAATTCTTACACAGTTAATTCATCTTAAACACAAAATTCTACTTACGGTTCGTGCGAATGACATCAACTATAGTCCTTTTGTATATGGATACTGTCGTTTCACAAATCATTATCGCTTAGGCTTTGTTTTTACCGTTAATTTAGCTGTTGTATCCATTATTTGCTCTATTGGAACTAGAACACAAGGTGCATTTCTCTCTTGTTACGTCTTCTAAATCAATAGATTCCTTAACAAAACTATTTTGGGCCTTATCTGATACGTACAATTATTTGAAATGTAGGCAAGGTACAAGACTTTAAAACTTTTTTTATCGATGTCAAGTGTTCTACTAGTATCACAAGTCCCCTGGGCTATCCACATCGTTACACAGAATTACACCCTCGTACAGGGTACTATTTTTAGAATTAAACACTCTGAAGTCCTTTATAACTAATTGCGCGTGCGGGCACGTGTTGAATGAATTCATGTGATAGCAGTGTTTTTGGAACTTATTCAGAATGTATGTTTTCAATTAGCTGGATGGATCAATTAAGCGAGGCTGGCAACGATTGAACCATTGATCTCAGGGGTTTGTATTCCATAATTTTGACACATCCATTTGTCTGGTCTAACCTGTTATTGGTCAGTAAATCTTGTGGCTCGGAAGGAATGTTCTCATCCGTGTTCTTACAATAAATGACCTCCCCTGTGGAGGGGTCGGGCTGATTAACACAGATGTGATTATATGGCATCATTCCTCACTTTCATGTTACGTGGTAATATCTTCCCGCAGGTGTTTTATTATAAATAGAAATCTACTTATTAACAGACTACGGCCAGGACTCGACTAGTAGTGATTGATTCATATCGTTTGGCAAAGCTACACAATAATGTACACTGTATTTTACCTATGGTCAGAAATAATAGTGTACATTTCTCCGTATAAACGGCCGAATTTCGTGATTATAAAGTACTCTTTTCTTGAGTGAAAAATATCCAGATAAGATTTTTTGAAACGGTTAAAATGTTCCAAATTGTCTTCACAGAAAGGTTCAATAACATTTTTAAAACAACACAAATCAACAATCAAAAAGGCAAAGATCGAGAAAAACACCAACTGTTAAACTATGATGGTGCTCGGCCTGGGTAGTTCAAAGAATGGTTAGCGTAATGACAACTCAATGTATACCTTTAATCTCTTACATTTTCTTAAAGGTTAAAAATAAGTGTAAATGCACATGAGCAGAGATCTAAGACAAAAAGCTCAAAAATATTAGTTAGTTTTCAGATATTTCGCAAACATTTGTTTTTGAGAATCTGAATTAATGAGTCATTAATCTAATGTTTTTTACATCTGGGTCCAGACAGTAAACTTACACTCACGTCAAACAAGTCATCTACAACTTCGTATCGTTGACGTGATGCCGTATAACACATATCCTTGGTGTCGCTTTTTGTGTAAAACGTATGTTTAATATGTATATTAGTTACTTACTTATTCTGTGAAGGATGTTTTTTTCTACAACAATCCGATGTTGATGAGTTACATATTTCGGACAACAGAATTTCAGAGTTAGATATTTTTCTTATTCGATGAATACGTTGTCCTCCTATTTTTCTGTTGTTGATACTCATTTTGTCTTGAAACAAAACGATTGTATGTCCGCTCAATCATTGGTATGAAGACACCATGTACATTTTCGTCCGTTCCAATATTTGTTTATAACGATTTATATGATATCAGAACAGAAATATGTCCGTACATAAAAGGTTAATCGTTAATTTAATAGATTGTCTATGTAAGTATAATAAAGTTTTGTAATAAAATTGTATTCCATCATTTCATGATATCTGAAATGTACATTGTGATATGAAGTATTGTAAGTGTATACGAAATAAATGTATACTGAGTAAAAGGGTGAAAGTTGTTTAGATATAATAAAGTTAGAAATAAAGCAAGTTACAAAGAAAAAGTACAACAGTTGGAACATTATCTTTTTAAATGCCTACCTGTCTGGCTTCCTATTTTAACATCCCAGGTGTGTATACAGGTAACAACTCCCGAAGCACTCACCTGTAAGTCTTGCTGTGTAACAACTTCCCAGTTTATACCTGTATTTGTCACTTTCACCAGAGGTAAGGCTCGACCTGGTGGGCCTACCTAGCAGGATAGGTATGATAACATTCTGATAAACATGCCCCTGCGAAACAATACACTAATCCGATTGCTGCCAAGTCAATCGTTCATATTATTAAAAACTAATTTGTTTTTTGATAAAAGGTCCAACTTTGCCGTGGTTTCGTAGTTCTGTAAACATAATTGGGGAAAGTTAAGTGAGTAATTCACAAGTCTCCCATGTCCAAGGTCAGTCAATCTGGCTGGACCGGTGGATACCGTAACGCCGATCCGTTGTCCGGGTCTAACCTCCTTTACTATAACTGGTAAGGAGAGGCTGGCAGTCGTGGGACCAGTCGTATAGCCAGCCTTTTTCGTTCCTTAAGACCTCCTTTTTGACAAACAAATTGTTCACTTATATCTCAAATTGACAAGCATTTGCGTTCCAAATACAAGCAGAAAAAGTAGCGCCCGGGCTGTATTATGTCAATCTAAATATTTCTGAATAATGCGTGGTTCGACCCAAGCATGGTTAATGACCATTATGTGTCGCTGGAGATGAGAGTGAACCTCATTTCTCTAACGAGGCACGGACTTTGTCCTGTAAATAATTTATAAACACACACGGCAAGTCAGATCGAGCCTTTAGCAAGTTAACAGACCTGCAGCAATATTTGGAAGATATCACACGCTCCATGCTAGCTGTAATTGAGGTTTATCCCGCACAATTTTGCAATAAAAAATAATAGAAAGCAATGACGCATTACTACCCATACCAGACCAAGATATTTCCTTAATTGTAATGAAAATATTCTATGTATGCCAGCTTTGTTAGTACTACTAAACCCTGTATTTCGTGACTGATCTTCACTAATTAATTTGATTATAATTACCTTTTGATGATTTCCACGATGTACTGTCATGAGAAATAATTATCATGAAATGTAAATTATGACGATAGCGTTCTCACGAGGAGTTCGTATTGAAAACCAATATAGCGTCACGCGAGTTCGTTCTAATGTCATATGACCCATCAGGTAATTACACTTAACTTGTGTTAAAGGGATGGTATGATTGTTTGTCAACGAGTGTCAATTTCTTATTCAAGATTGAACCTGACGTAACACAATACATTATGAACTGTTTTAATATACACAAAGACAAAACCTTGTCATATTGCCATCATTTGTCCAGATACATTTTGGCGTTATAAACGGGTTTTACGATATAGTTGATTGTATATATTTGCAGCAAGTGAAGTGGCAGATACAATGGAAAACAATATAGGAAGTGTAAAAGTCTATAAAGTCAAATATATTAATTTTTACTGAACCCGAAATATTTTCCAATTAAAGTTAGTATATGCATTATTAGTGGACCTGAAAGCTTTCACGAACAGCACTACAAGAAATATTCTGTCTTATGATATTTCCGAAATAATCACATACGAGGTGTCTTCATCTGAACATCATGTTTCTTTATGGCAATCTATTTTACACCAGGCGCGTCCTTAAAGACATTGGTTCGCAGCCTCCAAGGAGTGTTGACCGGTCGCAGGTAGCCTGAGTACCGGGTAAACTTTCACACCCTGAGTAGGTCAGCCTGGTGACGGAGGAATGGCCATGTTAGTCATTGTCACTACACCTACTGAGTGTAGGTCGGTCAAACCTCATCTACCAAACTGAGAAAATAAATACCTAACCCATTCATGGAAATATTTCTCTTTTTTATTCGTATCGTGGTGATATTTTGGGACAAAAGTATTTTATTCATGTTTGCAGTATAGATTAGAGATTTACGAACACATTTTGTGTCATTAAGCTGACAATGCTCTACACGTGTGATTGCTTTTAGTTATACTCAAGGTTCATGTCTGGGGAACAGTGCTGTGTTACCTTAATTGCAAAACTGTTTCAAAATGATATTTTCTCTTATAATAATGCTGAAAATATTTAAAATACTGCATTTCTTGTCTTGCAATGATCAGAAACAGTTAATTGCTTGTGAGACTTTTCAATGAATGTTCATTTAAGCCTTATAAATAGATGTAACTCACATATTACTAAACTTAGCAGACATCAGACAACTTCATATTGTTGAAATAATATTTTGCCATAATCTTTTGATTTATAAACTATCAAAATTGCTTAGGACAGAAAATGTTACTGAACTATGCAACCTTAGATAAAAGTAACGCTACTCATTCTATAATAGACCCCGCACCTATTGCCATAAACCTATAGTGTTTTACTGGAGCTTTACCGTCAAAGTTAACACTTATATGATTAAATTAAATTCGCATTATAACTTAATATTGTAAGCCTATAGTTATATTTGCGGTGATAAAAGTACTCGCGGTGCCCTGAAAAGGCTGATTTGTTGGTACGGGTCCCCAAAGTCTGGTTAGCTTACGGATAATTAATTTTAGATTTTTATTAAGGTGTACTTGAAAAAGATTGGGAATCAAACCAATCTGTGAAACTATATCTTTATAGGTTCATATCAATAACTTAAAAACAGGAAACCTAAACATATTTGTAAATTTTCAAATCAGTTTTTTAAAAGCGTATATTGAAAATTCAGGCTCCCGATTTGTTAATCTAACCAATCAGGTCCCGTGTTTAGGTAGTACCTTGTCGAGAACTCCAGTAGTGCAAATAGTCGCTGTAGTATTCTGTTACTGGGAGAACCTGTTGACTAGAGGAGACACCCAGGTACTTGACCTGTGTATTGACTAATGTGTGTATTACTCACCACAGACATTAACCCCTCTTCTGCCTCCATAGTTACAGGGCATCACGCTGGAATGCTTACTATCAACCTCGGGAATAATAGAGAACAAAGTCCGCAGACTTGTACTTCAGAAAGTACCAAACTTACCAACATCATCGAGAAAAAGATGCCAAAATTTCAGTTTCTACAATTCACACAAAACATTGGTTTGGTGAGGTTTCAAATCAACAGACAGTGTATCCAAACTGATTACTTAAAGCATTTCCAACTACTGCCAATGGTTGTGTAGAGCGGATTTGTATTGGAACAGTAAAACTGGTATTTATCTTCACCAGCATTATTACATACCATTCAATCGGAAATAAAATATAATGTAAACAGTTATAAGGTTAGATAAAAATAACCACGACCTTAAGGTTGAGTGTGGTCGTGTTGAGGTTCTGATAAAGGTCGTGATTGTGGGAAAGTAGCATTACTTATAAGGTTAGATAAAACAAAAAGTTAACCATTGTTTTAATTCCTTGAAGTGTCAACAACTTGGTTCATGTCTAATGTACTTCTAACGTATCTCGTTTTCATTGTTTTGGGAACAAATACATAATGCTTTCAGACAGAATATAGACTTGGGTACTTGAATGTATTGAAATATAATCCATTTATATGATTCCTCTATCTGAGTAATGTTAACCGACCCAACTTAGGTCTTGTGGATATTGACTTGGTTTGATCAGAGCAAAACTTTAACAGAAGTCATATTTATGACAACCGCAGTACGATCATTTAAGTTTGCATATGTGGTTTATTTTATTTCTATTTTCAGAAATTTGATTTATTTGCTATTTTTTAACAAATACAATGACTACCGTAACGGGTAGAAAGAAGATAGCATCTGCGATACAAGATAGTAAACCATTATTTAAAAAGCTATGTTTTTTGTTAAATCTGCATTTCATATCATAATGTTCAGTTGTATTGAAATGCATGTTTTTTTTCAGTTGCGCCATGATTCATGTATATCAACGCACCTAAAATAAATACATCTAATAGTACTTAAAGAATCACACATTTACATACAAAAAAGAGTGAATGGCGAGAGAGGAATTCATTTAACAGAGGAGACCTAAAACCATAAGGTAGCCATTGTACCACAGTACTGGGGCGAGACATTACCACAGGGAATACGTACATTTGTATACCTCTAAGATGCTTTTGTTCAACGTAATGAATTTCGGTTTTATACAATACGGACTTTGTTGAAATAATTGTATAATAATAGTTATCGATTTTGTTTAATTTCAATACATTTAAATTTATAATGTTATTTTCGAATGATGCATAAGTGGGGTTTTTTGTAAATAAATAGGTTTAGATCAACACATCGAATTGAAAACCAAGTTAAATGGCGTTCTAAATTAGCGTGGCTTTGACAAATGGTTCCAGAGCATGATTAATACACAAATCCAATATCCCAGTCAGTGAAATTGAAAAGTGAATCTATCTTTATTACAATCACATTCAATTTAGAGCTTACTCATACAGAAAGGCATTACGATGGGTTTCAAAACGAAAGGAAGGTAACTTAATCTTCCAGTTGGTGGTACATATAATGCCACATTCTTTCATTTTGTTTTCATTTTTTTACCTATATATCTTTATCATTGTAGCGACATAAGCTAAAGTGCTTCTCAAAAAGATACCTACCCAAGCCCTCGTGGGATTTAAAAGGTAATACCTGAAAATCGATAAAAGCGTCACAATATCGATACATCACCTAACTTCTGTATAAATGTCTTCTGTAATCTTTTCTTTATTCCTGTGAATATGGCTTCATCCACCGAGTCGGAACATTCAACCAGCTATCGTCTAATGCATAATGTTTGATAAAATTACATTTTAAGATAGTTCCTTCATACTTAACACTTTTTAACATATTCTGACGTAATTAGATGATGCAGATTTTGAAAATGGTTTATGAGCGAAACGTCGTCCTGTTTGTATGAATGTGTAGATAATCATTGACAGAATACAGTACTTCATCTTACATATTTAGTTACCGTCCACAACACATTTAGATAAACAGGTGAACGACAAATTAAATGTCAACATGCATACGCAATGGCTAATGTAATACAAGATAGAAAGCGGGGAAATATAGACCACCAAATACACGTTGACACTGATGGTAGAAGTGTGCTTAATGTTAGGTAACTTAATTCTTTTAAATGGAAGTAAAAAGATGTAATACATGTGAAAAGGGGATGAATATTTCGTTCTTTTGTACATTGTAGTATAAAATTCATTTGGAATGAAAGCAAGGTAATTGTTTGGTGTTTTTTTTTTTTTTGGGGGGGGGGTTTCGTTTTTGTAGTTGGCATAGTATAAACATCATAAATACCGACAGTACATGCTAGATTGGAATACATGACCAATCAATTTAAATCAAATAAGTTTTATTTCAACATGGTTTGGTTTGTGACAGATTCTATAAAATATCATAACTTTATTTTTATGATATACTTATTTCCACGCATGTGTCTCTTCAGACTGATTTGCAATAAAATTGATGGATAAATTCTCAAATAATCATTGATAATCCCTGCTTAAATGTATCTAAAACAAGTTATATCAATTCGTGATCGCCTTCCTTATTTCCAACATTAAAAACTGCACAAGTTATTAACATTAAGACACTCCGAGTTTGTTTTCCACACGAACCTATAAGAGTTATTCATAAAAGTTGAAATAACTTGTTTATAATTGTTGTAAAATATATAAAGACATGCAAATTCTAAATAAATATATATACATACTTGCATACGTACACTT